AAAGAGCCTAGCTGGTCAATTAAAGATGGGATTGTGCAAACGCCAGGGAAGGTCACATGCAGAGAAGGTCGGCTTAGTCTTGAGTTCAAACCTGGACCCCCAAGTGACATGTCAGGAAGTCCCCCTGCCCTACCATTCTTGGATAATTGCAAAATTAAGTAGGTCTCTAAGAAAAATGAGTTGTATAGCCTTCCTGAAATGAAAGGCCCAGGGAACAACTGCAATAATGACAATAACAACAATAATAGTGTGAGCTATTTGCCTAATTTTCAATGGATACTTATTGAATACCTGTTACATTGAAGGTTTAAGGCAAGATCTTCTATAAATATTATCTCTAATTTCTATAACACATTTTAAGGTAGATATTACCTCCACATTACAAATGAGTAAATTAAGGCTTAGAGAAGTAAAGTAACTTGTTAAGGTCACAGTTAGCAGGTGACAGAACTGGGGCTGAAATCGGGTTTGGATAATTAGAGCTATGCTCTTTCCATTATAACAGACTGTGTTTTTTTTTCTGTGCTTTTGATGTGCAAATTATAGCTAAAGCCACTTGAATTAAAATAATACACTAACAAGTAAAAAATAAAATTATTAACAGATAACTTAAAAAAAAAAAAGACCTCTGTAATGCACTGTTCCAAAATCTGTGTGCCTGTGCTAAAATATTACCTACGAAGTATTATAATAGAGATTACGTTGCATGGAAACTAGTTAACAATATGGATTAAAGTAGTAGAAATATAAGGTTAAATCTGACGCCGCATTTGCCAACTTCCATTCCAAATGGTGAGAAGGGAGGCCCAGGAAATGTTCGGTGTTGAATGTCCCCATGGTGAAGGAGTCACAAAGTGATGGTTGGCACAGTGCGAGGGAAAGAACAGGACCACAGAGTTGACCACTTCATAGCTGTATGATTTCAGGCAACTTCACTTAATGGCTCAGAACCTCAGTTTTTGAACTTGTAAATGGGAATTGAAATGTCTACTTCAGAACTGTTGGGAAGAATGTTATATATGTTAAGTGCCTAGCATTCCATAAATGGTATTTTAATAGAAAATTATTATTGCTCTTGACTGCTAGTTTACATTTCTGTTTTTCTCAATCACCTACATCGGACACATGAAAACATTCTCTTGTGACTAAAGACAAGAAAAATCCAAGACTGTCATTTTCTCAACATTTCAGGCTTTGTAATCTAGATGAGACTAGCACTTCAAAATCAGAAATGCCACATGGAGAGAGGAATCTCTTGTGAACGGGAAAGAAAAAAGATCTGCCTTTACAGATGCAATGGATTGTAAATAGTGAGCCAACGCAATTCCAAAACCAAGTCGTCCCCAAGCTGTCCTTTGAGATTCTGTCTTGCTCCATCGCCCATGAAATGCCGGGACCAGAGGAGGTCAGAAGCATTCCTAGAAACCACTGGCACGAAACAGCCATACCCTCCCTGCAGTGCCTCCTGCCCCTGTGATGGCTTGTCCTTGAGGCCTGGCAGCTAGGCAGGGGAAGGAGTGGCCCTTCCTCCCAGCAGCCGGTGACCCAGCCAAGCGACGCCACAGCTACCTGTCGGATGTCATTACAGACTGAGCTGGTGAGATCGAGCTGCTTAGGAAAAGGGACAGAGGCAAAGGCAGGGCTGCCGAGCTATACGGCAAAGACTAGGGCAGATTTAAAGCTCATTTTTTCATCTTCCAAACAGTCTCCCTTAAGCGACTTTCTGTAACAGGGTTCCTTCCCTTCCTGTGCTCTATTCAAATGAACAAGAACCTCTACAAGTTCCTCTTTCCTTCTTTCCTCCCTTCCTCTCAACACTCATGGCCCAGTAGAAAGAACGCCGGCTTGGAAGTTAGCCCTGGGTTTGAAAACCCCAACCTTCCTACTCATTAACCACATAACCCTGGTCGGGCAAGTACCTGTTCCTCTCTAAGCCTCACCTATGAAGGAGAGCACTAACATCTATCTGTAGTTGTTTTGAACATCAGAAATGCGCACTTGGCAAAAATCAGGAACTTAGTAAATAGTAGAACTATTATTAGTTTATCAGCAATATTGCTTTCAATTTGATTATCATGAAAAAAAATTGTAAGATATGTTCGTTTTCTTTAAGAAGTCAAATACCAAGATAATAACTACTAAACACCAAGACTATACCTGATTCTAATGAAGTTGAAAGACAAAACTTTTTAAACATTCAGAGCCCGCAACGTAAGGGTCTGTGCAATCAATAGCTGGCTAAAGGGTGTCCATCTGAGAATACGATGAAGGTGGTGACAAGGGTCTGACCTAGGAAATTAGAGAATTCCAAGAACTGAAATACTGAACCACACACATCACTCTGATCAGTGGCAAAATCACGACCAGGACTGGAATCTCTCAATTTGCAGTTTGGAGGATTTTCCACCTTAGCACACTACAGAACATGTAGCATGTATAGAAAACAGTCCGAGGGCCTATGCTAGGCACGCTCCCACCCTGTCCCGGTGGGGGAGGCAGGAAAACGATGGTTCCAGCATGGGTTGACTAAGTACTGCTAAGTGCACAAGATGGTTGGGCCAAAGAAAAAAACCCTAGCTAAGCCTTGGTGGGTGTCAGGGGAGGATTTCTCATAATTAAAATCTGAGTTCTGAAGGATGAATGTGGGGCACCCTGGTAGAAAGGGGAGAGGTGGTGTTGAAGGCTCAGGGGTGGCAAGATGGGCTCCAGCCAAAGGGCATGCACAGAAATGCTGAGGGGCAAAGCGTGAGGCGGGGGCCCCAGGACAGGAGCTGAGGAGACAGGTAGGGGACAGTCATCCAACTCTAAGCCCAGCATCTGCCATCCAGGAGATGCTAGTGGTGACAGCAAGAAAGAAAGGAGCTTGGGGACATTTGAGACCCATTGCTCATGGAATCCCAGAGAAAGGAAGAAATGCAGTTCCCTGGCCTGCCTAGAGCCCAGAGGTCTCAGAGCACTTGGCGGTAGGGGTGGAGGAGGTGCAGATGACAAAAGACGACCGCTCACTCCTTCTTGCTGTTAACAGAGGCATCGTTTCCCAGTGACTGCTAACATTCTGCCCCGACTTACCACGCTGAGATGAACAGACATTCCTGGGTCAGGGATGGGTAGTCTGTGCAGGGTGTCGAGAAGCTCATTCCACTGACTTTCCTGAAAGAAATAACAGGCCTGAGTAACAAAAGCAAGGCTGAGCCCTTAGTCAGAAACCTGCAGGGAGGTCTAGGCACATAGTGAGGGGGGCGCCCATGACTGAGGGGCTAGGGAGGTGCTGGCTCCAGCATAGAAACAGGTTTCATATTTAAGTAGAGTTAGACAAAAGACACTGCTTATGGCTTAATATGAGAGCCAAATAGATCCTCCCACACCAAGTATGACATTTTCCACACAGTGAGACACCTACCATGACCGCCTTTTATGGATCACATACCATAAGCTCCCAGTGAATCTATCCTCTCGGCTCCATAGCAACAACTTTTAAATGAAAACAATCCTAGCTTACGGGGCGGGGGTGGTGGGGAGAAATAACGATGACACTATAGGTCTCGTCTTCATCATCATTACCTTCCATTAATTTTATTGAGTGTTCACTGGATACACACGGCAGCCTCCAATTATGGAAAGTTAAAAATGAACTACGTACAACAACATGCAATATAGGATGGTGGCTGTGCATTTTAATTAGTGAGACGGAATGCAAAGCAATACAAATTATTCCACTGAAAACAGATTCACCTTTAAAATGCTCAGAACACTGTTTACAGAATTCTTCCCAAACCATTTCTCCCACCCTGTGGAATTCTCTATATTAATATAGTAATAAAACATAACATTTGTGTCCATTTGCTATCTGCTTGTTCCTCACAACCACCCCACTTTACAGATTGAAAACTGAGGCTCTCAAGGGTGAAGCAACTGGCTCAAATCAGTCAGTTAGCAAGCTGCTCAGCCAGGAACAGGTTTTCTGTGTTCAAGCCCAGAGCCCTCCACATTGCTGGACAGCTGTTTCTGATAGTGAATTTAAAGTAGAAGAAAAGAGGATGAGCCCAGATTAAAAGCCTGTTTCAATATGAACTCTGATAAATTACTCAAGTTTCTCGCAGAGGAGAGAAATGTATGTGTGCATGCACACAAGTGTTCAATTTTGCTCTGAAACAATCTCAAATTTACAGAATAATTGCAAGACAGCACAAAAGTCTTTTTTATTTTCTGAACTATTTGAGAGTAAGTTGCTAACATTATACCCTATCATCCATAAATATAAAGGACACTGCCCTATATAACTACCATGAATCCTCAAGATCAAGAATTTAACACATTACCATCTAAACCGCAGATCCCATCAAGTTTTGTCAACTGTGCAAAGAATGTCCTTGATAGCAAAATAATCCTGTTCAGAATCACAAATTGCCTTTAGTTATGAGTCTCTAGTCTTCACCAGTCTGGAAAAGTTCCTGTCTTTCCTAGATTTGTATGAACTTGAGAGTGAGACCAGCCATTTTACAGAATAACTCTCGATTGTCTGATGTTTTCTACTGACTCAGATTCCAATGCATTCTGTTACTGATGATGTTCATTTTGATTAATTCATCTGATGTCTCTACTGTGAGGCTACTCATTTACCCTTTGTGTTTAGTAAGCATTTTATAGAGCAATACTTTATATGAATATCCCATTCCTCAACAAACTTCTAATTTATCTATTTACTTATTTATATTAGTATGGACACATGGTTTCCTGGTTTGTTCAATAGGTGATGATCTTTTGCTATTGTTATTTGTTTTGATGCTCAAAGTGTCCCAGATATGACTAGTGGGGATCCCTTGTCTCTTCGAGCTCACTTTTGTGTCTTTCTGATGTGTCTCCATCATGTTTGGAGCACTTCCTTAATTTTGGCACAAAAAGATATTCCAGGCTTATCTTATACTTTCCCTGCCCCAGCCCTGGAATTAGACATTTTTTCAGGGAACCCTGGCTTCTTTTAGTGGAAAATGTCACAGAGAAACCAAGATTTGGGCACTAGGAATGCTCCCTGCGACCTGAATATTGCTGACCCTACTTTTTCAGTGGATAGAGCCAGGGAATACATCATACACACACGGACCCACTACACACACCTACAGCTCTATTTCTACATCTGTCACATATTGAAAGCCATGGGTTCATAGCAACGGCTCTAATTCTAATCCATCATAGGAATCATTCTACTTTCCTCTCTTTACATATTTATAACTGTATTCCACAAAAGTGAAAAATCTTGCCCCTATTTTCTTAATATACTTACTTTGTATGAAATCAATTTTTTTTTAATCAATGCCCCATCTCCTTATCCACCTAGATGCCCTCCTTGATATTGACATCCAGTGCTAGGCCACCACCATCCACCCACTCCAGGCTCAAACACCCCAGTGCTGGGCCACTGGTGTGGTCCCCCTTCCCACATGGATCCCTGTAGATCCCACTAGAATTCTGACATCCAGTGCCCAGCCACTGTCAACCACTGTCCCACGTAAACAACCTCCTCATCCATCAGCTCCGAAACCCTCAGCCAGGCTGCTCTCTGGCTCAGATGCCCTCCCCACCCCTGCCATCCATACCACAGGGATGCCCTTGCCCTATTCAGGGTCTGATAACCATGCTGAGTCGATGACCCAGAAAGACACCCTCATCATGTAGCTTAGGCTCTGACACACCATGTTAAGCCATCATGGTCACCACCCCGCCACCATTTGAAGCCTACCATGCTCAACCTTCACGAAGTCTTTTGGACTTGGGGAAGGAGTTCTGTGTTTTTAATAAAAGTTCTTTCGTCCTGTTCTTATCTGATGACCTTGCAATTTAGCCAGCTGTAGGTGGACTCCTGATCATCTATGTCATAATTCCTTTAACCAGATGAAATTTAATAAAAAGAGTCTTGGATATGGGAGAAATACACTCCACCCAAACATGTCACTGATCTCGGTCTCCAACACTCCGACAGGCAGGGTCCTTGCTGGGGCCATGGCCCAGGGGACTGGTGCACCAGTTTTACAAGGTAATAACCCAGTCTCCCCTGTGTGTGAGTTGTACCTATCTGTATCACAAGACATGTTTTTAAAAGTCTACTACATTTTGGTAGAACTCTAGTGGGATCTAGAGGGATCCACATGGGAAAGGGAGCAGCACCAGTGGCCCAGCACTGGAGCATGAATATAGAAGAAAAAAAATACATGAGTCAATCTCCAATTCTAAGACTGTGTAGAGCTTACATGTTATACAATTCTATTTCTTAAAGACAGCTTTCAAATTTGAGTGAAAACCTGAATGTCTGACTAAAGTGAACCGTGAATTAGAAATCAATGAACAGACCCAAGGTGGCCTCCTAACTCATTCATCAAAGAGTGAATCACTTCTTTTATGAAAGAATTCCCTGATACCTAAGCATCCTTTCAGAGTGAGCGTAGTGATCCAGGGAACCATTCCTATTAGTTATTCCTTCCCTATATCGTGACCTCTGAAATACATTTGCCAGTGAGTAAATCTAACTTGAAGGAAAGATTTACTTGTTATACACACAATTTCCACCTTTTCTCCAAAACAGCATTTCCCAAAGTGTGTTCCAGGAAACACTGGTATCTCAAAATAGTAATATCAGTCATGGAGTAAAAAAGGGTCTGGGGCCAAATCAGATGGGAAGCTCTGAGTAACACAGATTTCTCCACTGCAGGACTTCTCAGAGTCTACACTGCATGAATCTTTAGGAGACAAAAATGAAACACAGCGTTCCCTCTCCCCGACCCCAGTATTACTGAACTACGGTATTACTTGGATGGAGCATTTCTCAGAACTACTGTTCTATAGAATATATGAGGAAAAAAATTTCTCTAACATGTAATAATAATGTATCGCTTTAATTAAAAAACTTAGGCTATTTATGAAAAGGAAAATAGAAGTTAGATATATGGACAAATATTCAACTCACAAATAATCGAAGAAATGCAATCAAAACAATGAGACTTGTTCACTTGTCAAATAAACAATGGATTCAATAAATAATACTGGCGAGAGTATGGAGCCCCGAGCAAGTAAAGGGCATCTTTTAAGAAAACAGTACAATTCTTTTGGAAAGCAATTTGGCAAATGTTCTAAAAATGTTTATGTCCACTGACCTTATGATGGCCCATCTGAGATTCTACTCTTAAGGAAACGATCCAAAATGAAGAAAATGCTTTATGCTCAAAGATACTAATGTCTGTAATTGTAATATTGAGGGAAAAAATCCCAAATAATAAAAACTCCCAACAACAAGGAAATGTTTCAGTAAATCAAGGTACATGATATAATGCTATGCGGCCATGAAAAATATTTATGTTTTTACCAGTGTTGGGGAAATGCTTTGGTAATTATGGTACCTGATGAAAACAGGGTAAAAATGTGGGCTACAAAGTCTAAATACATCTCCCGTTACCCGTGATATCCACAGAAGACATTTTAGCATACCATTTCTTCCAAAAATACAGTAAGACATAGCTGCACTAAATCTTAAAGTAATTCTCAGACCCTTAAAAAAAATACTGTAACAGCACAACAAAGCCTTATTGAATTGGGAACTCAGGACAGCTGGCCAGGCCACTTACCAGTTAAGTGTTTTACTCACAAATCTCAGCTTTGCAGCATGACATGAGCAAGGCAAACCTGTGTCTCAGCAAAATTATAATTTAATACATGTTATGATCTTTCGGGGCTGCTCGGGACAATTAGATAGTGTGAGTATTAACT